AAGGGAGGCCCCCAGGGATTCGCACAAAGAAGAACGACTCCTTCCAGTGCTTCATAGAAGAAGGGGCCCCGACCAACGAACGAATGTTCCGTCGGGTGGAGAAGTAATAGTACCCTTGCTGGTGGTGTTTGAGTTGGAGCATAAAGCTCACCATCCCCAGGATCAGTTCAATATCACGGATGGCACAATAGGACATAAGGCCGAGCAAAAACATAAAGGAGTTCAGCATCAACTGCACCGGCAACACCCTGTACCAGTTTAGCACCTTGGCGAACCCCTTGCTTAACGGGAATCTCAGCCCAGCCTCCAAGCTATGTTCATAAACACATAGCTCACCGGGCTGAGCATCAGTAGCCATCACCTAGGCAGCAGACACCTTATCTAGTAGTCCGCGGGAATGGCATATGTATCTTGGATCCGAGCCATATCCCCGGGCATCAAGACGCTGGGTGTGGTACCGAATGGGCGACCTACCCAAAGAGGAAGCTTCGTCTCCATCCCAAAGGGACCAGCCTCGACTTCCTTAATTTTGGAAGCCACGAAGTCTCTCAGCTCAGGCTTGTAGGTCGAGCCGCGAGAAGAGCTGGAACCAGAAATACTAGAGGACCCAGATGACGAAGAGGACCAACAAGATGAAGAGGACATATCAGGCAATTTGCGAAGCTGAACAATGAAAACTACCGAGCTATCTATCGAGCTACCCACCGAGCTGTCTACTGAGCTATCCACCGAGCTATCTACCGAACTATGTGACTGATGAATTTGCTGAGTAGTGGATGTCAAACTCTTGCAAGCGATACTGAGGATAGGAAAGGGGGGGGGACCCCTTTTCCCTTTTATAACTATCAGGGGCACAAACCGAGGAGAGATCAACGGTGCAGATGAAGCACCACTGACAACGCCTCGGAAGGCCAACCGACGGAACCAATAACGTATGACAGAAAGCCTCGAAAACCGAAGCAGCACCCTCGGCAGGCAGCGGTTGCACCCATTAATTACGCCGGTTCAGCTACTGTACCAGTCCAACCTTTGGCGTAGAGACCCGCCGCACCGATCCAGCCTTCTACGCAAATCCTCGGCTTACGACCGCATGGCCGCGCAATAGTCTGGCCAAGCATTCCCTCTCCTCGACAGCAAAACTGGGGGAGTGGTTCGGGAACCGAAATTTTGGTTCTTATTTAAGTTTTGCAGTCGACGATCGGAGGACTCCTCGGCAACGACCAACACACATGCTCGAAAGTTCCTCACCCGAGCAACGAACCTAGAAAACTTCATTTCTCGACTTCAAAACTGGGGAAGTGGTGTCCAGGTCATGGATGAGATGGCCCTGCAAGACACGTGGCCGCTCAACTATCACCCTACCATGTCATCCTAACTCGGCTGAATCGGCATAGCTCGGCCACATCGGGCTAGCTTGACCAAGCTACACTATTACTGTGGAACCCCATCTTATCCTTCCAGCCACGTCGACTACACGTCATATGGATGAGCACAACTATGGGTAAAGAGGAGTAAGGAAGACGACTCCGCTAGGGAATGGGACTCTATCCTGAATACCTTAGCGACTAACTTCATCCCGACAACCCCGGAAGCCCAGTCCGACCAGGACACAGATCTTTGGCTATAAAAAGGTACTCGATGCTCGAGGTAAGGCATCCAAGTTCTGAGACCTACACTACTACTTAGCTTGGACCAGCATTCTTATAGTTCGGCCCGACCATTCTATCACCTCCTACTGACTTGAGCATTGGAGTTCTTACCTGGAGATAACTCCTCGGGCCTCTGACTTCTGTTTCCTTGATCACAGGTTTTGAAGAGCGACCTCACACTTGTAGCTCGGCCCCGCCCTGCCAGCAAGGACTATCTGATTGCCCTCCTCGGTTTGTGCACCACCTTGGATTGAGCAGCATCATATTCTACGAGGCAAATGAGGGAGATGTTTAGGATCAATGTTGATTCATCTAATGAGATTTTTCACAAATCACTGATTTCTGAGATAATGGGTTTCATAAAAATCAGAGAAATTTCTTATTCGGTACCATTGTTGCCATGTCAACTGATTTCTCAGAAAATGAGTTATGAGTTTGTTTGGTAATGATTATCAACAGTGATTTTTGTATCTATGCCACATCATCCAAAAATAATCAGAACTCAGCTAAAACCTCTTTTCAACTTGATTTTGATAATCAGCTGATTTGCCAATTTCTCAAGAATTGGCCAACCAAACAACAAAATAATCAGCGATTTTAAAATTGCTGATGTAGTTCCAATTCTGAGATCCCAAACACCCCCGAGGTTGCCCATATATAGTTTAGCTAAAAATGCCTTGTCAAGGAAAGAGATTACTTTCAGGCCAAACAATATTTCTATTTTATATTCATTAGGCCATCATGAAAGATGCCTCTTCGTGTATTGATCATTTTAATTGATGAATGAAATCAGTTTAAACTTTAAAGGCTTTCCGAAAAAAAAAAAAAAAAAACAGACACACACAAAGATCTCATAAAAGTTGTTCCATATCGTGTTTATTCATGATATAAGATATAAAATTCATCTTCAATTTATAATAAAAACGCAACATATACTCACCCATATTATTTGGATTTTGGGAGGGCGAACTAATTGATAATTCTTTTGGATTACTAGCTAGTGGTGGTTATCATCGGTGTTTTCAAAATCAGACCGGACTGGATGGTCAGACTGGAAAAATCGGGAATCAGTCACTTGATTGATTCTGTTTAACCCCAAAACTGTTTTTTGGCCAAAATTGTTGATTTGGTCAGTGAATAGCTGATCCGGGTGGTCGGATTATCAAACCACTTGATTCGGGAATGGTTTTTGGCCGTTTTTTATTTGTTTTATTTGTTTAATTTTTTAATTTTTTTTTATCAGAATGGACTGTCCATTTGGACCAGACAATCAAACCATTCGACCTAAAAAGCAGACCCAGAGCGGTTTCCCGTCTAGTCCGATTTTAAAAACCTTGGTTACCATGCATATGAGTTCACTATACTTCAATATAAAGACTACAAAATCTTAAGTCTAACTCTAATGCCTGCATCAATGCATGTGGGGTGGGGGCTTTGCCAAGTAGAATGCTGGTGTCATGGTGCAACTTATTCTAATCCAATTAAATTTTAAAAAACTATCCCAGAAACAGAACTGTTTTGGCTAAGGTTAAGTGGTTTGACCGTTGATCGTCCTGTGACATTTTTAACAATTTAAAATAATAAAAATGACATGGGAACTGTTGTTTGGGCCAAACGGTATACCGGTTCAACCATTGAGATTCAATTCAACAATTTTGGGGAAATTTTGGACAATGTAAAAATGGAACTAGATAGTAACCAGTTCCCAGGTCATCAATTCAATAATAGAGGAGTTCACATCAGTGCCCCACAGCACATCGCAACCGTGTATTAAAAATATCTCCCGATGATAAGTATGAGAGATATTCCCAATGCATGCTAAGATGTGCATGTAAGACACCCGCTGTGGGGCGCTGATGTGATCTCATAATAGAGAAACGCCCATTATAACATTACTCAGGTTAGTCATAGTGTAAGTGCTCATATAGAGATTTGCCAATTGCCATCCCTTAAATCCTTGATACTAAACTGTTATAAATCTTTACAAATTAATCCATATACAATCATCACAAACCAATAGCCAACCAGTATAAACCACTACGAAGTTATGTTAAATCACTACAAACTCATAAGCTCTTAGGCTGTGTTTTGGTTTGAGAGAAAAGATAGGGAAAGAGAAAGGGAAAGGGACCTTCCCTTCCTTTACCCATATTTTCCTTCAGACCAAACACAACTTACCAACCATTACAAACTATATTGAACTGTGGCAAAACCATAATTGACCATTAAAAAATAACATGCCTATCAATTTTAAATATCTAAGTTATCCTATTAATTAATGGTGTTAAACATGTTATATCTCCATATATTTATATATGTTATATATTATATAAAACGGATATTAAATCCAAATACTGTATATTACATTATATTCATTTATTTGAGCCATAAATCTGGTTTTTCCTTCTACGGGAGGTGGCGTACATATGAAAAAACTTCATGTCTTTTTTGTCTCCACTTCAAAGTCAATGGCACTTGGATCGTTGTTTCCAATGCTCTTCCTCTATCTCTAAAAGATGGTCCTGCTCATAGAGAAGCTCTGTTTCTTCATTAATATTCTGATTTGATTTGAATGAACACCGGTTTGATGGTCTTTATTTTGTCTTTCAGATCTCCAATAATGGTATAGCATTTGGTTAATTTAGGGTCTGTTTGGCGTATCTTTTCACATGTTTTTTCATGTAGACGCAAGAAGCTTTATAAAGTTTTCCAAAATCAGTTTAAAATAAAATTTTCGTGTCTTTTCGGCATTCTATCTTTTCACAGTTAGAATTTTTGTATGTTAAATAAAAATAGACCAAAAATCAATCTTCCCAATTTATAAATAACCAAAAAACCACACGAAAAAACACCCTTAGACTTGCATTGTTGGCTTTTATCTACGAAATTATCAGTACTCAAGTGCCAAGCATTTGTGTTGCGGGCAAAAAGTCAGGAGGATAATGATCTCGACAACAAACTTTTGTAATGTGTATAGTAATTGGATTATGGTTGCTTGGGCAAATGGCAAATAAAATAAGCCAAAACCCTGAAACATCTCGATACGATATGGATCGGTCAATACATGATGTATCCAATATCAAGGGTTTTAGAATTTATAATTTATTGTGAGTGTAAATGACAAACAAAAATTTATGAGGTGGATTTAATAAAGATTTTCCTTCTCAAAATTGACTGAAAAAAAAAAAAAATAGAAGTGGTGGTTTTGTAATTGTTTAGGGCTGGCCCAACCAGGCCAGAGTTAGAATTAGACCACCACTTCTCTCTGCTGCGGACTGGTCCAATCGACCCACTCTTGAGCCTAGAGAGCTTGATTTGCTACTACTTGCGCTATTAGTAGTTGTTAATGAAGTTGAATGAACTCAATTTTAACCAAACCAATATATTTTAAACCGGAACGGAGCGAAAGGATCCTGAGCAGCCATGGAAGAGCATGAATTTCGACGCCTTCTCGATCTCTTTCCCATAGTTCGATCCCGAGATTACCAAGTAACCCCTCTCTCTTATGCACGCTTGGGTTCTTATTCCTCATCTTTTCCTTCCTTTCTTTTTTTTCCGCAGATCTTCCGTGCTTATCAATCTATCTATTTATGTGCTTTTTGTTCAAGATGCATTTGGTTTTCATATTTTATATAATCGTTCCACGGGTATGCTAGAAAAGTCATGGAGAGAAGGATTGATGGCGTCTAAATCGTTTTAATGTCATAATCTCTACTGGGTCTTCCTAATTTTCCACGTTTCCTCCTTTTATGTGTTAGAAAGTTGATACTAGTGTCATAATTTCTACCGGGTACAAATCCTTTCCATGTTTGCTTAATCTCGGGTCTGCACAAGGGATTTTATTGGAATAGTACTTAAATGTTCTTTTTTTTTTCCATTGTTTTACAGTCTGTCATGTGTTTTCTGTGATGTGTTTTTATGCACATAAGGACATGGTTCAGCACGAGATAATAACTAATCTACCTTCTGTATGCTAATTATGTTAAAATAGACGAATTCCAAGTCTAGAGATGTTTTGTGCAAACTAAACTATGAAATTACTGGGCACTATGGCGTGCTTGAAGTATACATATTTGATTTCTTTTCTCAAAAATGATCTTCTTCGTCGAGTGAGTATAATTTCAAGGACTTCTTCTAGCTACTTCTGTTTTTGTGCATGAATGGCTGATCTCATAGGCCGCCACATCTTCTCCATTTGGAGTTATCAAAAGGGATTGGAATCAATGGGTGTTTGATAGACCAACTTCACTGTGACCATTTAGAACTCAGAAGTTGTTGGGTGCCAGAAAGAATTGGACACTTATTATACAAATAGCCTACAACAAATGAAAATACTCTTGGCATATGATCATGTACAATGGGGTTCCTTGGAAGAAGTGCTAAGTAGGATGGGTTTTGGGGAGAAATGGAGAAGCAGGATGTTTGCGTGCATTTCATCTGTTTCATTTTCAGTGTTCGTTAATGGGCTGTCAACAAAATTCTTTGAGTAAGTTGTTGAATAGAGAGGTTGCTGTGGGCTTATTGGTTGGTTTCAAGATTGCATCTGAGAGATTAATCATTTCTCATATTCAATATGCTGATGACACTTTGATCTTCATGGATGCAACTGTGGAGCAAGCTTACAATTTGTGAGGAATCCTCGAAGGTTTTCAATTGCTCTTGGGATTAAAAATCAACCTAAGTAAAAGTGTGATGATTGGAGTGGGAGAGATTCGGAAGTCCTATCTGGAGGAATGTGTGGGGGCTTTGGGTTGCCTCATTGGGGAGTTCCCATTCTCCTATCTTGGGCTCTCCATTGGGGCTAGGATAGCAGCTCCACAATTTTGGTGACCTGTTATTGACTGTATTGAACAAAGGTTGGCAGGTTGAAAGGCAATACCTCTCCTTTGGGGGGAAAGCACACTAATAAAGAGTGTTCTTTCCAACTTGCCTACTTACTACTTCTCTCTAAGGATCCAGCTTTGGTTTTGGAGGAAATTGAAAGGTTAGAGAGAGATTTTTCTTTGGAATCTAAAGGTGGAGAAAAAGAAATACCATTCGGTGAGATGGGACTTGGTTTGTCGGGCCAAGAAAGATGGGGGTTTGGGAGTGAGAGGGTGGGTACTTCTAACAAGGCTTTGTTGGGGAAATGGGTTTGGAGGTTTGGGAAAGAAAGGAAAGCTCTATGGAGAAGGACGGTGGCCTGTAAATTCGGAGTATGGGTGGGATGTGAGAGAGTTAGATCTTCTTATGGGGTGAGTGTCTGGAAAGGGATTATGAAATTTAACTCCTTGATTCAGCCATTTCTTGACTGGAAAGTGGGGAGTGGTTCAAGTGTGAGATTTTGGGAGGGTAACTGGATTGGGGTTGGTAAGTTGTGTGAGCTATGTCCTAGGCTTTACAGTCTAACAAAGAAGGGTATGCCTATTTTTCAATGTTGGGGCATATAGAAGATGATTTCCTATTGTTTTGATGATGACAACTTACATTGACAATAGTAATGAGTGAGTATGTAAATGATAGAGGGATGTATGATGGTCTGAAATGTTAGTAAGCCAGAGTGCCAGTCTGCCAGACTAAGATAGAATATGCGGAATGCAATAAATAAATTCAAACATAGAAGTCCGGAGAGTTGATTTCTATAAAGAGAGTCTGGATTAATGACTCTCTTTTCCTATTTTTCTTGTTTTTTTCAGTTGTTGGATGGTGACTCCTGGTTACCTAAGATTATGTATCTTTCTCCTTTCTAGCAATGAAGTTTCTTCTTTATTTATCTTAAAAAAAAAAGATTTCTCTAAAGAAGGAAGCTTTTCTCATTGTCAGTGTGCCCTCTGTAATATAACCTCATAGATAATGTTCTCTTTCCTTGGAACTTCAGAAATTGGAATGGTATTTCCTTTAGGATGCTCTAAAGGGTCAGAATGCTATGAGGTTATAAGCCCAAGGTAATATCAGATAGGGGATTTGGGGTCTTTTTGGGAAATTGCTTTGGACCTTGGGAATGAATCTGTGATCTCGGAGGGATGAAAAACATAGTTGTCATACCGATACTTGGAAAGCTTTATTTTTTGGTAAAATTTCTATGAAATATAGTTTTTTCTCCAACAGAAATTTCAGAAATAGCATGATCTTCTACTACAAGGAATTGGACATCTCAGAAGTCATAAGGAATAATATTGTGGTGACAGCATGGTCTGGGCTGTCATTGATGTAAAATTTTAGGAATGTGAATAGAATAGTCTTGTTCTTGAAGAATACTTTGTTCTTATAATGGAAAACTTATCTCAGAAAAGTTTTTAGGTACACTTACTCTATAGCAGGTGGCCAATGGCTAGTATGTATAACTGATACAAATTTAATACAATATAATTCATCTTTCTTCAAAATAAAAAGTTCCAGCTTTAATTGTTAGTGGACTCAAATCTAAATAATATGGAATTCTGAAGAAGTAGAAAAAAAGAGAAATGGATAATAAATAGAACGGTTGGAAGATGAAATAAGAGAGAAGAGTAGAGGAGAGTAAATAGGAAATGAAAGGAGAAAAGTCGGAAGTGATCAGATTAGCTGGGACATTGGTCTGGCTTCTAGGTTATATTGGGATGCCCCTGAAAAGCTTTGCTTATTGTTCTCTTTTTCTTTATCATGCCCACCAAGTATGGCCCAGTTTTTGGTAACAAAGTCAAAATTTTGGAGTACTGGTAGTAGGCAGCATAATTGGATGTTAGCTGGTTCTAAATCCAAGGCGAGGATGACTGAGAACTCTTATCCCTCTTGGGCTTGTAGGAGTGGTCTCAAACACAAGTTCAGTTAAGAGGGCCATTGGCCTTAAGTGGTGGGATTGGTCCCAAAAGATGGGGTACTGTTTATTAGGAATGTGCTTGTGGCTCTGGTCTAGATTTTATAGTTCAAGTTTGTTAATGTTTGGTATTGGCTAGTTAATTCAAGTGCCAATATTTGGTTTAACATGAATCTGTTCATTCATGACATTGGTTAACTAAACTTGTACATGCCAATATGTAAATTAACAAGGCTCATCTGGTATTGATGAGTATGATGACAGTTTAGGGAAGGGGAGGTTTAAGTTCTTGAAGCTAGTGCTACTGGCAGTGGAGACAGGGGAGGAGGATGATGGTGAAGATTTGTTGGTTAGTAGCCATGAGAAAACTAAAAGAATCAGCTGTTAAGGAAAAGAAGAAATAGAGAAGAAGCTAGAGGTAGAGGTGAAGGCAAATCATCAAGAGGTAGAGGGTGGGGATGAAGAGGTGGGAATCCCATATGTCATTTATTTAGTTTTGAGGACTTCCCAATGGGGTGAGCAGGGTGAGGTGAGTGTTCTATATCCTGGAATAGGAGATAGTGCTTTTTTATGTGAATCATTTGGAAATTGAATGGTGTCACTGTATATGAGCTGGGTAGTTGTGTTCTTTTTTGTCATTTGAGCCTGTTGGACAGTTGGTGCTTGGGGATGAAAGGTGATGGTTATATTTCAGTTTTGTCCCTCACCTCTTGGTCTTTGTGGATGCGTTTTGTATACAGTTTTTTTTTTCCTTACTTATAGAAAGGAAAATAAAAGAAAATAAATTAAAATTGGGAAGTCTAATTAAGACCCATATTAGTTGAAATGGCAATCTTGATAGCCTGCACATGCAGTGCAATGAAAATGAGCTATATCTCTCTTCAATTTTTGAACTGTTAATATTTCATGACTTTAAACGAGTTTTCAGAACTCTGATTTTTAAGTCCCTTATTTTAGCCTTAGTCATCTTGCCAAAATTATGTTTTCCAATTTCAGGCTGACTCAAAATTATCAAAACAATCAACTTCACGATCAGCAAGAAATGAGGTGGAACTACTGAAAGCATTCTTGTACAAGTTTCTTTGTGTTGCATTCTCTTCTACAGGTTCCAACCTTAATATGTTTTGCATCCAATCTTGTGACAGCAGGTAATTGACTGGCAAAATGCATGGAATGAGGAGGATAAAAAGGAAGGTGAAACTCAAGGAATAGATTGGGGAGGTATTTGTCCAAAATCCTTATAGTAACATTTATTAATATAGATCGGTGTGGCTTGTTATGATCTTTTATTCTTCCACTAGGTAGGCCATGGGATTTAGTTTCAGTCATTATAAACTTGACCTGTAAAAGTTCTAAATGAACTTTGACTTGTATTCATGTGAAAGAAAATTTATCCAATATTGTGTGCTGGGACATTTCTATTTAGTTTTTTAAATAATCAATAACAAAAAAATATATGCATAAAATTGGTTTTGTGTTTTTGTATGGGTTAGTAAAAGGTGCAGGAAAGGTTCCTTTCTTCTGTACATATTTTTTTCTTCACGAGGATGTTGGCCATTGGGAATGAGTTGTGGATATAAGGGCTCTCCTTGTACTTCCCTTTATCTTCCTTTTTCTCTCCTTGAGTTGGATATCTTAATTGGATATCTTAATGAGGTTTTTTCTTATTTTGCATATTTCAATTTTTAGTTGGGGTTTTTGGTCCTTTTGTTTGAATCCATGGGTAGTGCATGAGGCTCCTGCCAATGCAGGGTCTGAGGAGGGAGAGATGTATGCAACCTTACCTCTGCATTAAGCGTGTTTCCAAGATTTTTTTTTTTTTATAGTAAACATAATGAACCAAAATAGAAAGAAGGTTTACAAGGTGTATATGGGGCAAAGCCCAACAAAAGGAAAAGATCATAAGATGACAGGAATCTGCACCCATGCGCATGCATGTCTTCTATGCCACATACATGTGCCCACTGTCCATACGCTCAGGTGCATCTGAGCTCCTATAGACTGTTCAGCTCAGCTTCCCAGCTTCTCCAATTGCCAAACTGAGTGCTTCTGCCTACCCTCAGTCCCGCAGCATGCATGATGCATTGCCTCACCCAGCCTGCCTGCTGGTACTACCCAAGGTCACCACCCCTCAAAGAGTACATTTAATCATTCAAGGGTTACAGAGGAAACATCAGTCCTGCCTAAAACGTCTCTATACCAGCCTCTACCCAACAACTTCCATTCTCACTGAAGAAGATCCCCTCCCATTGCTGTAAATCAAACAATTCTTAACAAATCTACATCAAACAACATTAAATGGAAAATGCAGATGAAAACAAAAGGCCAAACAAGCCCACCCCAGATTGGACCAACATATTATGCTTTTTTTTTTCTTTTTTGATAACATATTATGCTCATATCATCATCCTCTCTAAAAGAGATCCCTTCCATATTCTTTCTTTGCTTGTTCCTTTTTCCCCTATCTCTTGTGCTCTCTTAAGCTTTCTTTCTTCCCTGCCTCTTTCAATATTGTGCTTTGCCACCTTGCTAACAACCTTTTTGCTGACCTGCCCTTTTTTCTTTTTAATGAAATTTTGCTTTTACTTATCCAAAAAAAAACCTTTTTTTTATGATCCCTCCTGCTTCTAGGCATTTCTACAGCATATCCACTACACTTTTCCTTAAAAAATGTTTCGCTATGGAGATATCTTGATGAAGATGGTAGCTGTTGACAAAGCTGGTTAGTGTAAACAATGTTCTTTTTTTTTATACGTAAACAAAGTATTTATTGAATCCCAATGAGAATAGACATTACAAGCATCTCACGGAGAGGCATGAGGTGTCACCTCTCACACAAAAACTTTAATAGGATAGTGTAGAGGAGATGGGCCGAATGGCCCATAGACTGTCATTTCATGTTATGTTATGTTTCCCTCTGTAATGGGCCTTATTCTGGTCCGATACTCTGTAATGTTCTGTTTTTTGTATTTTCTTGCCCACTCAAGGGCCTCTCTGTAATGTTTCAAAGATTAACTTCTTAATAAAATGTTTAGAGTGTTAGAGGGAGGTTATGTTCGAACCTCTTACTCTCTAACCCTCATTGCCGCTAGCTCTCTCTCTCTTCCTCTCTTGTTTGTTTATTTTCTGGTTTGCATCTAATCTCAAGTAGTTCCATACATCAAGAGGACTGTTTTTCAACTGATAGTGACAAAAATCAATTACAATTGAGCCCAATATAAACTCTCTATTTACACCTTGTTTAGCTAGCTCATCTGCCATAACATTTGTTGTTCTCCTAACCTAAGAAATTTTCAAGTTCATGTTTTTGGTTAGCCATCTAAACCTTTTCATCTCATCCCCAAAACACCAAATTATAGACTCCACATTTATTAGACCCATATCACTTTCTTTTTGTACCCCTGTTATAGCCGCAAATAATTCTGCCCTAATTGAATCTCCCACTCCCACAGGACCAGAAAATAGTGTAATGATACTCCATTCTTTGTTTCTCAGCACCCCTCCTATGTCTGAAGAGCCTTGGATTCCTTGAATACTCCCATCAAAGTTTAGTTTCACATAGTCTTTAGGTGGGGATTCCCAAAGAATCTTTTACTTTTCTTCTTTGGAATAGCTTTTGGCCACTACCTCCCAATTTCTCCCTATATCATCAAAGAACCAAGATGAAAAAGAATCTAGGGTCCTAAGCCAATGTATCACCCTCACCAAAATACATTCTTTTACCACTTCTATGCATCTCTCCTTTCCTAAGAAGATTCTATTATTTCTTTCTTCCCATAGAGTCCATACTATCATTGCTCTAGCACTTCTCCACATAATCCTTCCCATCCTTTTAGGCCAGACAAAGGTAGAAGGGTCAAAAAGCTTATCTACCTCTGTTGGCAAGGACCACCTTCAACCCAACATAGAGAAAAGCCAATCCCAAGTATCTGCAGCAAAAGGATAGGATATTAGTAAGTGGTAACAATTTTCTTCATTGGATTTACATAGAGTGCACTAGTTTGGGAATAAGCATAAGAAGAGTCCTCTTTTTTGTATCATGTCATGTCCATGGTGTTGATTTTCCCATGGTACACCTCCCAACAAAAGGCTCCAAGTTTGGTAGGAACAGGCTGACACTACACTTCCTTAGCAGGAAAAGGCTGAGGAGAAGACAAACAAAGAGACTTAAAAAGAGAAGAACATGAAAAAAGACCTTTCGGATGAGGAACCTAGATGTGTCTATCTGGTTTGGCAGGATCCAAGCAAATAGAAACAAGAAGTTGCAGTAACCCATTCAACTCTACCACTTCAGCATCCCTCAACCCTCTTTGGAAACCAAAATCCCAATTATGATTCAATGGAAGGATAGGAGGAACGATAAAGTCTGAAACACACTTGTTTTTGTACAAAGAAATTGAGTGAAGGGACAGGAATAAATATTTAAGAGTTGAAGAACCAACCCAAAGGTCTTCCCAGAACTTTACAGCCCCCCTAGAACATACATCATACCTGACGAAATTGAGAAACTGGTGAAGAAACCCACGAATTGCTTTCAACGGTGAGGTAAGGGGAACCCGTTGAGACACTCTGGCATCCCATCCAAAGTTCAACCTGCCATGAATGTTGGCTATCACCTCATGCCACAATCTGTCCCTCTCCAACAGCCACCTCCAAATCCATTTACCTAACAAGACAATCCTGTTGTGTCTCATTCCTTAGTTTCCATACTGAAGAATAGAATGCCCCTATTAATGTTGTGAAGTACCAAATTGAGAAGCCATGGCATTAGAATCATGTTTTTATCTTCCCACAATACATTTGTCATACCAAACTACTTTAGCCTTTTAATCACTCAAATCATAATATTGGCCAAGAAGAAAATCTTTGGAGATATATCTAATAAAATTGGAATGATACAGAGAAGATTAGTATGGCCCCTGTGCAAGGATGGCACACAAATCAAGAACTGGTCCAAAATTTACTTATAAAAAAAAAGTAAATATTTCTCATGATTTGTGTAGGAGATGTCTTTTGAATGTTGAACAGAATGCCTATATAAATTGTGAGGATGATCGGATTGGAATTGGGAAGTTGTGTGAAATCTGTCGAAGATTGTATAATTTGATTGAGAAGGGTATGCCTATTTCTCATTGCTATGAGGTGAGTAATGGTTCTGTGGTCTGGTGCCCTAAATTTAGAAGACCTCTATTTGATTGGGAATTGGAGGAGTGCGTGGAGCTGCTGGCTTAGCTTCAAGAGGTGGAAATTGACCCTTCATTATCAGATGTCAATTAGAGGTGTATCTTTTGCATTCGTGTTTTCAATGGGCTGCATTCTTACACAGGATATGTTGAAGAAAAGAGGCTATCAGTTCTCAAACAGATGTGTGTTAAATTTTGCTGAAGAGGAGAATATTATGCACTTGATGGTACAATGCAATTTTGTTAAAGGGACCTGGTCTTTCTTCAAGCTCTTTAAGGTGGCTGGTTGGGCACCAGTGGACTCTGGAGCTGCATTCCTTTTGCCGTCTGCCGGGAGGTTTGGATGGAGAGAAAAAAAAGGATCTTTGAAGGGAAAATTTTGGTTGGTTGGTGCTTCTAGAATTTGAAAAACTAAAGAAACAAAACTTTGGTTCCAACTTTTGGCATACTTTGAGTGATTAAGAATTTTGGCGTGGTTTATGTACTCTATTTTTTTGTTTTGTTAGACTTAGGCCCTGTTTGGTTGTACTTTTCAAAGTATTTTTTATACTTTTGAAATTATGTAAGTACGAGAACGTCGAGAAGTACATGAATGTGTTTGTTTGACGTGTTTATTACTTTAAAAACACAGTAAAAGTAAAAAAAAACACAAAAAGCATGAAGTTAGCTTTTGATATTTTGTGTTTTTTGGCCCTCTAACATATTTTATAATTTCTTAAATGTGTGCATCAACCACGCGTGCTACTTATACAACGCATCACGTGGAAGCATATATGAGTGCCATGTGAAAGTATAGGAACATTAATGTATTCAGTGACATGTGCGTGCCACATGTGGCTTCCATGTATCATTTACTTACCTCCAGATGCCACGTGACATCCTTGTATGTTGTAGTAGCATTCATATATGCTGCCACATGGTTGTTTTTGTTGGGGTTACCCCTTGTCACCTGCATTAGTTGTATCCTTTTATTCACAAGTAACAAAAGTTTCTTCTTTATTTATCTTAAAAAATGCCTATATAAATTGCGATGTGCTACAATGGATGAAGCCTATACAAATGTTGATTGGTCTGAGTCAGTTGATGATAAGAGGCCGACTTCAGCCTATTGTACATTTGTAGGGAAAATATTGCTTCTTCGCAAAGTAAGAAACAATCAATTGTGGCTACATCATGCATAGAAGCTCAGTTATAGGGCTATGGCACTGCTCTAGTTAAAAACTTTTTTGATCAAAATGGGAGTCAGACTTGACAATCCTATGAGGCTTTTCTTTGACAACCAAGCTACCATAAATATTGCCAACAGCTCTGTTCAGCATGACCACATGAAACATATAGAGGTTGACAGACATTTCATCCAAGAAAAGGTCACTAGTGAAGATATTTGTCTACCTTCTGTGAAGTCTAATGAGCAGCTAGCTGACTTCCCAACCAAGGGAGTGCCTCAATCTAAACTAGAAGACAACTTATGCAAGCTAGGCATGAATGGTATCTATGCCTAGCTTGAGGTGAGTGTTGAAAAGAAGAAAGAGGTGCCATTTGGAGGGAAGATTTGTGTTTTTCATTTATTACTAATTAGGAGTTAAGTTGGGATTGGCAAAAAAGGATTCACGTAGTCAACCCCATATAGTTGGGATAAGGCATGGATGGTGATGATAATGGAGTTGTAATTTTCCTGTATTAGTATAAATTTTAATGAAAGGGCCATGCCAAAGAACTTTTGGCTCTTCATTTTCCTTCTGTACATCATCTATTCTTGCAAGTATTAGATTTTCAGTTATTTACACAAATTAAATTGATAAGGATTGTAATGGTTTTTGCTTTTAGCAGATTCATTTTGGGAGAAATTGAGGTCAGCAGCAGTGGAAAAGGTATGCTATTTAGATATTGTTCTGTTTATCATCCTTGAATCTTTTCCATCAGACCATTTTATGGAAATGGTCAGAAAAAGTTGACATATTCATCTACTTTTCATTCTGTGGTACTTGTTGTTTCATTTAGAAATAGAGGAAAATCTTCTTTAAGTGTCTCTCGGTGGGTCAATTGATGATCCACAGAACTTGTTTTTTCTTTTTTTGATCCCCCTTTTCTTTCCTTACTGTACTTTTTCCCTTCTTCTTTTTCTTTTTCAAAACTTAACACTGGATGCGACATCCATATCTTTTAGGATGAAAGTTTTCTTTTTTCCTTTTGCAGTTGTGTGTTGCTTTTTGAATCATATTAAGTCTTTTTATTTGTATAGTTAACAGAAATACTGTAATGAATCTTATCTTGAGGAAATTTGCAAAATTAGACTATCTTACCTATTTATAAAAAAATTGAACAAACCCCATATGAGTATGGAAGACAGTATTGTATGCTTTACAAGTCAGTCCCCTCTCCTTCCAAGAAATGAAAAAGAAAATGCTAATGGAATGTCAACAATAAATTTCTCCATTAGAATATGAAATTAGTGGATCATCATCAGCATCAGCATCTAAGCCTTGTCTCAACTATATGGGATTGGTTACATGAATCCAGTTTTGCCATTCCATTCTGTTCAGTGCGATATCAATCATTATGCTCTCCATCATCTCTTTCATACTTCCTGAAGGTTTCCTTGAATGCATTTTGTTTCAGCTTCCTCTTCCAAAATTACTCATTCCCTATGTTTTCATGCATATCCAAAAAAAATAAAGGAAAAGAAAAGGTGACTATAATCTCATTTATGTTTTTATTCTAACCTTGTTGTCCTAGGAGCTAGGATTATATAAGTCTTATACTACCATTCTCATTCTTAGTGATGTTTAAAACCAAATATTGAACAAAGTTCTCCATTCTATGGAATCTTCTACCACTCTTGTTATGTTAGAGCATATGAAACAGCACATCAGTCACTTTGAAAAGAGGAAGCACAAACAACAAAGCCCTTGATTCGCAAGATTGAAAAAGAACCGGTCTTCTATACAATGGGCGACTATTGTGTGTGCGTGTGTGTGTTTCTTTTTTTATCTCTTATTTTGATATATAGAGACAAGGGACAAAACTTGGATGATGATGAAGGCAATGAGGCAAGTACATGTCGATGTCGTAAATGACTCGTTAACCTATGTGAAGTCCTTTTATGTGGGATTATGGCCCACATCATTTTAATAATGCATAATACATTCACATACACAAACATACCAACAAAAAAAAAAGAGGAAATTGCTCCATTTGGAAAGAGAATGAAAGAATTTATGTTGATTTCCCACTTTTCTTCCCATCTATTTTTGGTAGGTTGGTCCAGCACAGGCAGAGAGCTTCTGCAAGGCTTTTCAGAAGGTTCATAAGAGACTTGTATGTATATTTGTTATGCTCTTAGAATGAAAAAGTGTGTATTTCCTTTCTTGTCCATCTCTCTTCTTATCACATAGTGACTCGTGCATGAATTGTTTTCTCAAATATAATTGTCAGGTACATGAAGAGTTAAGTCTGGATGCTGCTAAAAGATTTTTAAATTCAGAAACAAGTTCAGTAGAGTAACTTTTCAGTTGTTCTTTTCTCTGGAAATGTTGATCTTAGTTTATGTTACTTCAAACAGAAATAAAGAAAAGATTAAAGGAATGGATTGTAAGATGGATTTAAGTAGATCTGTTTTCTATCTTATAATCATAGGATAAACTGGGAAATGGAAATTTGATTATTTACATTTGCATGTGTATGTGTTGAAGATGAAATTGGAAGCCAGTGGTATATTAATAGATTAGGGGCCAACGTTTAGTTTGATGGTAAAATCTTGACTGACAAACATGGGAACACGGGTTCGACTCTGAAAGCTGCCACTATATGTAAAGAAATGCCAAAGTTTAGATCAGTGTCCAGTCCACCTCTCCCAAGACCCCAGATAGCTGGGACCTTTATTGGGTAACGGTCTTTTTTTTTTTTCTTTTTTTTCAGTGGAATTGCAGGGCAACAGATTCTAATTTGCTTGGGAAGGGATCACTAATCAGGGAATTGATATATAGATTAAAGCCACAAGCAATGGAAAAGAAAACTTTCCTTTTGAAATCCTAACCTGAACTCATTCTATGTTTGTTAGACATCTAATCGAAGAGCCATTTACTTGTTAGTCCTGAACTTCTTACTTCGGGTCATGTCTTTATTAACTATTCATGCCCTGAAGCGAGAAAGAAAGAACAGACTGATGCAACTAAGTAGATCAGCAAGGCTATGGTGTTATGATTTTAGATTGGGACTGTACTTTTGAGAAGTTAGTACATTACATCCCTACTCTAAGACAAAGAAACCATTTTCCGTTTATGATAACAAATCAATATATGTAATGGGTACTTTTGTCTTTTAAAGCATGAAATTTTTGAATAATGATTAGATTATCAAAAATGGAATGTGCTCAAATCGCTTCCCGTAAATGACATAAAACTTCATTATGGAAATGGCTTTTCTTTGGTCAAGTTTTAATTACATGGACTAATATAAAAAAGAAAAGAAAGTAATACCCTTATATTATATGGTTATCATTTATCATTTATCACCACTGAGTCTAAGGATTAAGGATTACAAGATTGGAAAGAAAGAAAATGGTAAATTACATATAGGCACTCTGTACCCGAGCAAGGTTTGGCTGAATGTGATGGCAGTTCAGCGGGCTGTGGAATCAATGATAAGGTTTTATGTCAGTATTTAAATACGTGAGGCTTGCACCTTTTACACTGGGGCTCATGAATTTATTACTGGAGTGGTCTCATTGTTTCTACATCCTGAACTCTCAAATGTAACACTTATAAATACTCCAAACTTCGTAATAAAATAGAACCATTAATAATAATAAAACCTAAAACTATCTTTCTTGTTGATTAATAATAATAAAATAGAACCATTAATAATAGATCAGTGATTTCGTTCACTTCTGTATATATCGTATTATATATAATTCTAAGTAGGTTATAAACCTGGTGATTCATAATTAATATAATAAAATAGAGTAAAAGAAGCCCCACTTTTGTCGTAGTAGAAGCTGTATTGTTGTTGTTATGTATATATATATATGGCCATTCTGTCACACCTTAATATGTTAGCAGTACTGGAGCAGGGTGTTTATTTCTAGAAGTTCAAGGTATTCATGTGTTACATTTGAAAGCAAGGTTTAAAATATCATTATGTATCGGTCGATATGTATTGTTTCGGAGCATTTTTTATATGCCCTTACAGTGGGTGTATCGGGGTCTGACCGGTTCAGGGAATGGAGGGGTCTTAGACCGGCTCTCTTGAACCAGTTTTGAAAAAAAAATAAAAATAAAGTAAAAAAACAAGTATCAAAACACCCGATATTCCCCTACTGGCATATCGGGCGTATTGATATTTTAAACCTTGTTCGAAAGTTCAAGTACCAAAAAACCAAAATAGATAAAACTTTCAGCTTTGGTTATCTCAATAAAGGGTACTTAATTAGTGAAAGTAGGGGGTGCAACTTGGACAGGCTTTGAGTTGGGATTTTGTTAAAATTTTAATAAACATCAAATTAGGTACCCGACTTCCATTCCTATTCCTTTGATCAAATGCACCTCAGCTAGGATGTCAGTGGACCAGGTTAAGTGGTAAATCTGCACTGACCCAACTCTATTCGGTTAGGTGAGTCAACCTCAATCAGGTTTGGGGTCAGGTTAAGTGGTAAACCATTGAATCGACATTGAAATACATGCATACTTAAGTTTGGTTGGGTATATATAGAACATGTCGGGTTGGGTGCAATGTTCTCTCATCATTTAGCCGGGTCGGATTGGGTTCGGATTTATATGCGAAGTGAGCCAAATCCAATCCATCGAGACACCTATTTTATTTCTGCGAGGCTGAAACTCTAGGACGCCTATTTGTCTTCTCCACGAAATAAATTCATATAGTGTCGCTTCAAATCAACGGCAGAAGCAAAAGAAACCAGAGACACCAACAACATTACAGCGTCTAATACTGAAGCAAGACAAAAAGATTTACTATTTCATCAAAGAAACATTTACAAGGGATTTACTTTTCAATACTACATCGCATCGCATTCAACATTACAACTTGACATTATTATTGTTTATGCAAGTTGAAGCCTGAAAAAGAAGAAGACACCATCTCAGCCCATTCCCTACATTTCATTCCACAACGTATTCATTCAAGTATGACAGGCAACAATATTTACTCTAACCAGATATTTCGATGGCCTTGACTTCCGGCTTTTTCACCTCAACCTTTGGGACTGTTACRGTAAGAACCCCATTCTCCATAGCGGCCTTCACCTGATCCGCCCTGGCATTCTCCGGCAACCTGAACCGGCGGAGGAACTTGCCACTGCTGCGCTCCATCCGATGCCATTTATCGTTCTTCTCTTCATGTTCCCTGCTGCGCTCTCCACTGATCTGTAGGATTCTACCTTCTKCCAATTCGACTTTCACTTCTTCCTTCTTGAGCCCAGGAAGGTCGGCTTTGAAGACGTGGGCTTCTGGGGTCTCCTTCCAATCGATGTGGGCATTGGCGAACGCTGCCGTTTCAGCAGAGAATTGAGGAGCGCTGAGAGCAGTGGCGGAGGTGAAGTCTGGGAATGGATCCCACAAATCCATAGAGAAGGGATCGAAGGTGTTACTTCGTCGGCCATCAAAGATGCTAGGGATGATCGACATCTCTTTAGCTCTGGGAATTTCGCTAAAAAAAATCAAATCGAAGACCGAACGAGAAAAAAACGTTTACTGGGTTGAAGAGCTTGAGCGTGTTTTGAGCCTTGAGCTGCGTTTGTCATCTGACGATGCAGAGAGGGAAGGAGGCATTCGGTATTTATAAAAAAGAAGAGAGGCTTCTAATACTTTCCCGGACTTTCTGTACGCTTCTGGTTTATTTGAACATTCTAGCTGTTACGAGTTACGACTTACGAGAGGAGATATCCTGTATTGTGATTTATGATAAGTATGATTATGGAGATAAAATGGTGGCCCACCAAATGTCCAGACCAGTCCAGTCACTGCAGATGCCCTTGGTTTGGGATATAGAAGCGCTAGATGTGGTGGGGCCCCCAAAACAAATGTCTTGGTAGATAACAAGAAGATAAAAATCCATCATCCGTAGGGATCCACCTAGATTGGGCCTATAATATGCTATTTTGACGATGGGGTTGATGCATCAGTTCTCAAAGATTTGCACAATTGAGATCATGGTCTTAAAGCTAAGAAAATAGGGAACTGGGTTCTTCATTTTGCTATTCCTAAGTCCAACATGACCTTAGAATTGGGCCCCCCAATTCATTCTGAGCAAGGACTCCGAGTTGCTCTCTTTGGTGAATGGTGATCAACGTTGAAATTACGTGCCTAATGGGTGGGTGCTACTGGGCATTGAATGGGCGAGTTAAGATGGGGTTACTGAGCCAGCTTATGCCCTGCCCAACAACCAGAAAAACATTAATCCTCGGATATTCTCTTTTTTATTCTTAATTTTTTGCTTATTCGAATGTTAAAATAAGTTCAAAATGCGCCTACCATTTGGAAACAATTATATATAGCTTCTTTTATTTCACCATAAACGTGAGTCCCCCAACCATGAAGATAAGTTTTTGTGGAGTTACCAAATAAATCTGGCAAATGCAGATAGATCCCATTGACAGTTCTTGTGGATCCCTCAGTCATGAAGTATCAGTTCCAGCTTTTATGTCAGAACAGAGACAGAGCAATGGAGGTGCTTCAGGATTCCAGGGATTTCTGGGGAGATGGAATGGAAACCTTTAATCTGATGATGATCTCATTCATTCCCTCCAATTCACTTTAAGCTCTTCCCATTCCTAATTGCCTATCTCACATTTCCTGTAATTTGTATTCTTGCCTAATTGGTCACTGTTATTGTTTTTAGTGAAGATATAAAGCTAATTGTTCATTGCTGTTGCATATACCAGATTCTGAAGAGCTCCAATTACTCAAAAACCAGTAAGGAGATTAAGTGTTGATTAGAAATTGACAACAAAACCTGAATATCGAACCCTTGTTCTTAGGTAGGTTTAAAGTTGACAAGTTGAAAGCGGATTATTTTACTGAAAATTCTATATGGCTTAAATATTTACAGAGGTTGTCCACAATTTGAGTTATAAATTCGGCATGGAAAGCACTCTTCTTTGTGGAAATCGAAGGTGACAGGATTGGAAAATTTTGATTCATTGATTCAGAAAACCGGTTAAGACTTGGCAGTTTGATTCATTGAGTTATAAATGCCAACGGTTTGGTGCAGTTTGGAGAAGACCTCCGACCAAATCGGTAAATTACGGTTTAAGAAATTTCTAAACCGAATCAAACCATTTTGATATAAAAACTAAATCAGATCAAACCATTTTATTACGGTTTAGTGCGATTTTTAATACGGTTTAGAGACTTGGACCATTCTATGATTTTATTGGGCTTAATCCAATTAGAAAGCCTAAATAGCTTCCTTAAAAATTAAAATTTAAAACTTTTATTTTATTATTTTATTATAAAATAAAGAGTTTGTCATATATTTATAATTTTATGCATCCAATTTAGATATACTATATTATATATAATATTTATACATCATATATTCGTATTATATTTATACATTTATATTATATATATATATATATATATATATATATATATAATTTCAGTTTATGTTTTGGTTTGGTTTATGAAATCCAATAAATCAAATCAAAACTGTAAACCGTAATTTAGAAAATTATCAAACCGAATCAAATCGTTTTTAGGTATAAATTGAACCAAACTTCAAATTCGATTTGGTTAGATTCGGTTTTATTGTTTGAAGCTTTATAATGAACACCCGTAATATGCAGGATGGAAAGGCCACTGGCCTCCTCTTATAAACGCTGATTTATAGATTTTATGGGTCATGCCAACCCACATTTAAATGGATTTGGATCCAAAATATAAAATAAATAAATAGTACTGTAAGAGCATATACTTGCGAAAGTCCATACTTTAGGTTGCATTTGGTTGCAGTGCAACTTTATTTGAATCAGTACATATGCATGGCCGTATAAATTCTGATTTAATTTTGTTTTGGATTTTACTCTATTATGCTTTAAGTCTTATTGTACTTCATTTTCACTCTAGGGTAAATTTTCAAATAAAAATAAATTAGAATTTACCCTCAAAGCAATTGTACTATCATAAATTTGCATTGCAACCAAACACAGCCTTAAGCACAAAAGAATGCCAAAAATAATGTAAAAGACCTTTTACACTTGAAATAGTTGGTAGGAGATCTGGACCGACAAAATAAGCACAGGACCGACAATATATATATATATATATATATATATATATATAAAAGAAAAAAGTGTTTAGTTCGTAGTAATATTTTTTCATTTTTATTGTTTTTATTCATTCTTTTTCATTTTCAATAAGTATTTATTTCCTTCTTGGCCTATATTAACACGCCACATCATTTTAAAAATATCTATAAACACTCATGAGTACTTATTAAAATAAACATTTATTTTTAAAATAATCACTCATAAGAATTGTGGACAACTGAGACTGCTCCCCAGTACACTCATTTCCTTGGTGGGCCTTTTGGGCACTCGAGAAGGACCTGGATCAAGGCTGGAATGTGGAATGTTCTACCTCTATCTCAATCAAACTTGAAAAGTGGGGATGTCCCAGAAAATACTAGAATCGCCCTTTTCTTTTCTTTAAATACCGATTTTTTCCCACCATCTCTCCACATTGTGAAGTACTCGAGTCGAGAACGAGAAACTCTCTAAGCGCACACTAACTTCTTCAATCAACCCTGCGAACGTTTCCCTACTCCTTGGTTTGATCTTCAACTTGATTCGAAGTTTCAAGCAGGAAGGAAAAAGAATCTATAGCAAAGATGTCGATTATTCCGAGCATCTTCGGTGGCCGAAGAAGCAATGTCTTTGGTCCCTTCTCTCTCCATGTTTGGGATCCGTTCAAGGATTTCCCCTCAACCAGTGCTCTGTCCTTCCCTCAATTCTCAAACGAAACAGATGTCTTCGCCAATGCTCGAATCGATTGGAAGGAAACCCCAGAGGCCCATGTCTTCAAAGCCGATCTTCCTGGGCTCAAGAAGGAAGAAGTGAAAGTCGAATTGGAAGAAGGTAGAATCCTACAGATCAGCGGAGAGCGCAGCAGAGAGAAGGAAGAGAAGAACGATAAGTGGCATTGGGTGGAGCGTAGCAGTGGCAAGTTCCTCCGCCGGTTCAGGTTGCCGGAGAATGCCAGGATGGATCAGGTGAAGGCTGCGATGGAGAATGGGGTTCTTACAGTAACTGTCCCCAAGGAAGAGGTGAAAAAGCCTGAAGTCAAGACCGTCAAAATCTCTGGCTAGAATTAGAATGAATATTGATAGGAAAGGGGCTCATTTGAGTCTTGTATGCACTTTGTAGAGATGGTTTAAAATATGTTTTAATCAAATATTAAGCCAAATTTAGCATTGTAAATTTGCAAGAGAACTCTCTCTTCTCTCTCTCTCTCTCTTTCTCTCTTTCTCTCTCTCAAGTAAAATCTTATTTTCTGTTGAAATCCTTGATTCCTACTTCAAATCCTTGAAATCCTTGATTCCTACTTCAAATCCTTGAAATCCTTGATGCCCATTTCAATTAAATTGGCATTTTATACAGTCATAATGCCGAAGACATAATACAGTTCATGCCTCTTGTTGTTTTCTTTTGATCATGCTGCGAACAACATCAACAAAAAATAGAAGGAAATTTGAAATCAAACTTTGCAAAGATCAACTTTGGAGTCTATCCCATCTAGCAGTTGGGATAGTGATTAGAGATGAATATGGAAGGTTAATTGTTGGATGAGTTCTACAAGCTAAGCATTCATCCTCGAAGGAAGCGGAAGCCTTGGCAAAGTTATGCTTTCATCCGTTGAAAGTGATGTGAAATCATAATGAAGGTGTTATTTTCAGATTTGAAGTACCTTGAAGAACCCATACCATCATATTCAGGAATGCAAAAGTCTCCAATTTGATTTTACTGCTTGTTTAATTGCTTCTATATACATGTAGTGGCTTACTTGCTACTGCTAGTTTTAACTGTTAGCCTATTAGGCATAATCACTCCACGACCGGGTCACTCCAGGTCATTGGTGCTAGATGAAATCTAAGTCTTAATTGGTAAATGGAAATTAGCCTTTGGGCTTAAAAAAAAGAAAAAAAAAATGTATCCCATGATTTTTTTTCATTCTCAGCTTTAAGTAATTAAAAAAAAAATTCATAGCCAATATATAAGAAAAAGGAGAGAAGGGGTCTCTCTCTCTCTTCCAATCTCTAAAATTCTGAACCTTACTGCTTTATAGAATACAAGCCTTATTTTCTTGTTTTTTTTTTTTTAAGGAAAAGTTCGGTCAGCCCAATGCAGATTTCTGATTTCCACTGTAGATCTATAAATATTCAAAATGTCAACAATCCACACTCTATGCATCAACGTCCACCTGTGAATTGGCTTCAATTTCAAGCTGGCACCTACCCCAATAATACTTTGAGCCTACAAATTCTGACTCTTGGCTGAACCGTCTTTTTCCCTATTTTTTATTGGCAAAATGTAAAACACAAAAGATATATTTGGTTACCGGAAATTATAACATGTAATTTGTTTGCTTTTTTTATTTCTTTTGAAGGGCTACACAACAGGGAGCCCATCCCCCAATCCATAACCTCCCAACCCAGGTGCATGCAGGATTTGATCCTAAGTCCAGCAAGGAGATCTTACCCAACCAGCTGATAACTACTCTAAAAGTACAAATATTATAGGTTGAAGTAGTCCCTTAATAAGAATCCACCATTCAAAAATATCATCTGGCTAAGGAATCCAAATTCAATCTATTTATAATAAAATTGAACATAGATCCACCCAAATCTCATCGAATAAATTCAATTTGATTCAATTTAAATTTAGGAAAATTTTCAAATTAATACCCTGTGGTTTATAGAGAGTCTCAATTTAGTACTCAAACTTTCAAACATGCATTGTATCACATGAACTCCCAAAAACTATCAATTTAGTCCAAAATCATCAACCAACTAAGTGGCATGTGAAAGGACAAAATACCCTTCAAGTGCCATTTAATTTTCTTTATCTTTTCACTCTCATATATAAACCAACCTAAACAAAACTCATCCAACTAAAAGCACCGTATGAGGATTGAAACAACCTTCAAATGATTATTGGTTCATAACCTTCAAATGAGAAGATGAAACTACTTTGGCATCCCCAATGGACCGTCCAAAGAAACCTTCTCCCACACATTGATTAATTGGTATCGCTCTTTCTTTGTGTACTTACAGACACATCAATCTAGTGGAAATTGTATTTTTGTATTGGACAACCATTACCTCAATGAACAACGCCCACCATTTTCTTTTTTTTTAATTAATAAATAAATAAAGTACTTACCTTAATCTTGACTATTTGGTCTTCATATTACAAAGCACTGATGTATTATTGTGTTTTGTTTTGTGCTTCTTATTTCTTGTAATTGTAGGTAAGACAATCAACCTTTCTCCTTTCTCTCCCTTGCATCCTTTTCCATTTTCCCATTTTGTGTTTATTTTTCTCTTTTAGTCAATTATATACATTGCGATCTATTTTGTCGATCATTTCTTTGCTGGATTTCATCAGTTTTGAGACTTTTTTTTTTCTTTCTGGATTTTGTTATTTCCATCTTTGTAGAAATTAGAATTTGGATTCTTTTGGAGAAAGGAATTGGGCTGTGGATAGATAGGATCATTGATTGGTTAATATATTATCAACAATATGGAAGTACCTATGAACCGTATGAGGAAGGAAACAATGAATAATGTCTATTTTAGTTTTTGGAAATATAATTTTGACATTTTCAAAGGTTTTAAACTGCACATATCATCATGTGATACAGATAACTGGCAAACTATTCTTGAGTTTAGATATTGTAGTGGCAGGTTTTGAAGTTGAGGTACTAAATCGGGACTACTCCTAAAGCACAAGATGCTAGTATAGAGTTTTTCCCTTTATTGCTTATTTATGTCTTTATTAAGTCATTGGTGACATTTCATAATTTTTTTTTATTTTTTTCATGATATACAATATTAGAATCATTTTTTTTATATTTTATTAATAATACACAACATTTTTATGTCTTTTAGTATAATTTATTAATGCTATTCGATATCCTATTGCAATCCAAATCCAATAAAAATTCAAATCTAAACCAATTAAATTAGTATCTATCTAATATCTGATTCTATCCAATCAATTCACAGCCCTACCATCAACTAGATTTTTGTAGTCATTAATATTAGATAAAATAAGTTCTAATATAAATTTTATTATACGAAATTAGTTTTTTTTCTGTATCAATATAGATTTAAATGCATATTAATACTTTTACCTTACAAGTATCAGAAAATATAGTGTTTATGTATTTAGTTTTTGCTGCGAAAGGAAGCATAGTATTTATTTGAACATTTAAATGTAAAAATCATATTTTTGTTATTTTTGAATTTTAGTTAATATTAGTTGTGGGCCTGGACTGGAATCATGGGCTCGAAAGCCCAGCAAATATTGCCACAAAAGGGTGTATCCTGAAAGGGCTGGAATGTTCATAACCAAACGCAACCTCATGGAAAGATAGAGAAAGTCCCGAAAGTACCAGACGCTTCCAGTTCTTCTCTATAAATACCGTATGCGCACTACGATATCTGGGTCATCAAATATTCGACGTTCCAAGAACAGTTTCTCCTGTTGATTCAGTTTCATTCTGCTTCGCTTCAAACAAAAAACCCTTAACCCATAACTAATCGAAGAGATGTCGATCATCCCTAGCATCTTTGGTGGCCGACGAAGCAACATCTTCGATCCCTTCTCTCTGGATTTGTGGGATCCATTCCATGATTTCACCTTCATCGGTGGTGTTCTCAGTACCCCTCGGTTCTCAACCGAAACGGCAGAATTTGTCAATGCCCGCGTCGATTGCAAGGAAACCCCAGAAGCCCACGTCTTCAAAGCCGACCTTCCCGGGCTCAAGAAGGAAGAAGTAAAAGTTGAACTGGAAGAAGGCAGGGTCTTACAGATCAGTGGTGAGCGCAACAGAGAACACGAAGAGAAGAACGACAAGTGGCACCGTGTCGAACGCAGCAGCGGCAAGTTCCTCCGTCGGTTCAGGTTGCCGGAGAACGCCAAGGTGGACCAAGTGAAGGCGGCCATGGAGAATGGGGTTCTTACTGTAACTATACCCAAAGAAGAGGTTAAACGGCCCGAAGTCAAGGCTATTGAAATCACTGGTTAAGATAATATGTGTAATGTTTCCATAGATTGATGAATCTGTTGGATCGGCATGTAAGGAATGGATTGTAAAGGTGTTTCTGTGCGTGATTAAGCTTGTATAAAAATATTTTCTGTAAACTGTATCCTACTTGTTTGATCTAATTTCAAGCAAATTTAACATTCAAAAAGAGATGGGTTTTTTCTTTTTTGTAAATCTTCATTTTCTTAAGAAATGAGAAATCATTTGTAATTTTGCTTCAATTATGCTGGTATTCTATGCAAGTAAGGATTTTGAAGCAGCAAACCTGTTAGTTTTTATGATCTATTTGCCTTCTGCTACTGCTTTAGAGAAACATCATTTGGTTTCATTCATTTGACGGAAGAAGGAACAAATACATATTTGGTTTCATTCAGGCTGTAATATTTTTGTTGCACTTACACTAGAACTGTTAACCTTGAGTTCTTATTGGAGAATTTCACCAGAAACAGAATGAAAACTTATGATTCTATTAGGACTCTTGGCAATCAAGTATTTCATCTGTAATTGTTTATGTGAGCCTCATTATTCTAGTGTTTATAAATGGATTGCTTATGTTTATAAGTGGGGCATCAGGGGGAAGGCAGTCTCAGGAGGATGCCTTGCTTATGTTCTCATTATGTGTTACTCTATGAGGACCTGGTTGGAACAGAACTAGAGATCTATAGGAGAATCACTTGGTACCAATATTATTTAATTTATTTTCAGAATGGTTTCTACTTGATTATAACTTTTATATGGATAAAAGTATATGATGGATAAATTCTGAAGTAATAGGTGTAATTCCTAAAAAGGTCAACATTTGTTTGGGTAGTGGTATGAGATTGAAGCTCATAAGAAAATTGTATTTTTCCTGTCATGACAGTTTCTTGGACTGCAGTTGTTTGGGTGTAATTGGGCCTTTTTTGGGAATATGTTTTCATCTTTATGAATCAGAGAGGACTTTCAGAGGTGAATGCTTTAGTCCTTCCTTTTCCATGAAATATTCTTATATATAATATTTATTTTGAGTGGGACTGGGACATAATAATGAAACATACCGTTCTGAATATCACAACTAAATTCCTGTTCAGTTGATGGGTTAGAAACTCCAAATTGTAAACTACCTCATGCAAATAGGCTACAGCAAGGTTTTTAAAATTGAACCGGACAACAAACTAGTCAGGGGTCCGGTTTTCGTGTTGAATAGTCCGATTGTTTGAACCAAATGGATGGCCTGTTTTGAAAAAAAAATAAAAAATAAAAACTGGCTAAACTGTTCAATGGTTCAAACGGTTTGACCGCCTAGGTCTGCGGTTTGCTAATTAAATTAATGGTTTTGGGGTAAAACGGAACTGATCACCTGACCGTTTCCCAATTTTTCCGGTCTGACCGTCCGATCCAGTCTGGTTTTGAAAACCATGGGCTAATAAAAAGTTTTTGGGTTTTTATTTCCCCTTTCATAAACCATCTCTATGTGTCTGGTAATAATTTTCTTTTTGGAAAAAGGTAAGGTAATTTATTCATTACAGAAAAAGATAAAAAATATAATAAAACCCAAGCCATTAAGGTTGCCTGGGCGCAAATCAAACTACAACCTCATCCAAGACTGAGAACAAAACAAATGAGGTAGATTCTGATGTTTGAACTCCGTCACTGACACGCAAGAAAAGAACTTGCCCATAGCTCTCTGCACTATTTCATCTGGGCTTTTAGCTTTACAACAGAAAATTCTGTTATTTCTCTCAGTCCAAGTAGACCATAACACAGCTGCCGGAATGATATTTCATACAAGCTTTCCTTTCTTTCCGAGGCCCTCAATTCTCCAACAATTCAGCAGCTCCTTCACTGAATTTGGCATAACCCAACTAATCTCCAAAGCCTTCAGGAAATGCCCCCAGACAAAAGAAGAAATTGGGCAATGGATACTCAAGTGCACTGTAGTTTCTGCAAGAGTACCACACAAACCACACGAAAGATCCAGAATCTGAATGTTGTGTCTCTCCAGATTAACTATAGTTAGACATTTATCAAGAGCCATTGTCCAAACCAGAAAATTAATCTTAGAGGGACTAGTTGGGTTCCAAATCTGGCTGGAAGGGAAATCCTCCTGACTTGATCTATACAACTTGAGAACCATGGATTTAATAGAGGAACAACCATCTCCATTGCATTTCTAGTTCCATTCATCCTCCTGACTTAAATCTATCATCCGATTTTGAAGCAACCCTAACAGTGTCGCATACTCTTCCACCTCATGGAATCACCAGAAGCATTAAAATTCTCAGCTATTGAAGAATCTTGATTCACTAAGATTTGGAACAGGAGGGGGAAAGCTTCTGCTAAGGACATCTCTGAACACCAGGTACCCTTCCAAAACTTAATTCTATCCCCTTTCCCCACCTTAAGTCTGACCCCATCCAAGAGGATAGGAAGATTCTTCAAAATACCTGCCCAGAGAGATCTATCCCCTCTAGAATGAGGAAACCTAGATCTCCAATCACCACACTCCACCCCATACTTTGTCGCAATAAGTTTTCTCCACCATGCATTCCTTTTAGTAGCAAATCTCCATAACCATTTATTAAGAAGGACAGAATTAAATTTCTTCAAATTCCTTATTCCGAGCCCACCAACTTCCTTTGGGAGACATACTTGCTCCCACTTTACAATATGGATCTTCTTTTCCTCTTCCCATCTCCTCCACAAAAAATTCCTCTGGATTTAATCCAGCCTCTTTGCTATTTTGATTGGGATGGGGAAAAGAGAGAGGAAGTAAGTAGGGAGGTTAGAAAGGGTACTCTTAATCAGTGTCACTCTCCCCCCATATGACAAATATTTTGCTTTCAAAAAAGCCAATTTTCTCTCCATTCTCTCAATAATTGAAACCCAGGTCGTGGAGGAAGAATATTTAGCTCCAAGAGGCAACCCCAAATACTTAATCGGGAGAGAATCAGTTTGACAAGCCATCACTTCTACACATTCTTCTAAGCTTAGGGCAAGACCCACTAGGATGATCTGACTCTTACTCAAATTAACTTTGAGAGCAAACACCACTTTAAACCATCTCAGAATCCTAAGCATTGATTCCAACTGAATCGGAGATGCATCAACAAAACATAGGTATCATTTTCGAAATAGAGGATATTAACTTTTTCCTTTTCCAGGGGAGATTGCAAATCCATCCCAATACCCAGAATATGCAGCCTTCTTACTGAATGGCCATTAATTAGGATTGAAAATTTTGGGGTCTTAATACAAACTCTGATCCAGTTTCTGCATTGCTGCCCAAAATTCATTTTTTCTAGCACCAGATCCTGGCAATTCCAGTTGACACGATCATATGCTTTCTCAATATCAAGTTTACAAATCACACCCGATGTTCCCTCTCTTCTTTTGGAGTCTATCAGCTCATTAGCAATGAGAATTGAATCAACCATCTGCCTCCCTGGAACAAATGCACTTTGGTCATTAGCAATGAGAATTGAATCAACCCTTCATTCTTTTTACTAGGACTTTAGCCAATATTTTATAAAAAATTGTGTAGGAGACTAATTGGCCTAAAATCCTCAATGTTCACAGCCCCTTCAATCTTTGGAATGAGAGTAATAAATGTAGCATTCAAACTTCTTTGTAGAGATGCATTTGTATGAAAAGCCTAGAACACATTCAACAAATCTTTTTTCACAAAATCCCAGCATTTTAAGCAAAAAAAGGTTTGCAAGACCATCTGGCCTAGGCGATTTATTGCATTCTAACTTCTTGATTGCTGCCTTTATTTCCTCCTCTGTGAAGGGTCTCTCAAGCCAAAGTTTCAGATCTTCATTCAACCGCTTGAAAGGAAGGTCAGTAGGAAAAGGCCTATGGTAATAATCAAATTTAGAAAATCAATACAATGCTCATGATACAGGGTGGTAATAATCAAATTTAGAACATCAATACGATAATCATGATACATATCTGTATCCTTGGTCATGGATACAACATGTGCCACGAGAAAGTACATATCCCATGAGTTGTGCATATAGGCACAATGTTTTTGTATCGGGCTATAGTGCACCATATCAGTGGATGCGGTCCTATATGCTTGGCCAGTGGTCCGGTTCTTAGGTCAAATGGTCCGACCATTTGAACCGAACAAACAACCCATTCTGACAAAAAAAATGAAAAAATGAAAAAAATGGCTAAAAATGTTGGATATATGTTAAATTATGAAAATAAAACATATTTATTATTTTCTCTAAAAAATTAATAAAACGGAGAATTATGAAAATAATATATTTTATCTATCTTAAACAATTTATAAGTTTTATTTTACACAATTAATAAATTATATGTTAAAAATAAAACGTATTTATTATTTGAAAAAATAGAGTTATTATAAAAAATACTAAATAAATAAATGTTCCCAACGAAATTAATAGAAATATAAAATTATAATTATAAAAATTGAAATGAATAGTTTAAGATTTATTTTTCCCCAAAAAATTAATAAAAAATGAAAATTATAAAATAACTTATTTGTCTACCTTAAATGATTTATATGCTTTATTTTGCAATTATATTTAAAATAAAACAATAATATGTTAAAAATGAAATATAAAGTTATTATTTATATAAAAATACTAAATAAATAATTTTTTTTTTCAAAATTTTAATAAAAATTGAAATAGAGCATTATTATTGTATGGTGTATAAATACTCTAGAATCGTGGTATTGTTGATTGTAATGTTTTTCTTCATATAAGCTATTAAAGTGTGCATTTTTTATGTGTTTATACGTTATTTATAAATAATTCAACTTTAAATTTATTATTATTAATGTATTTATGTGATTTATTTGCATTTTCCTAACATTTTTATATCTTTTGTTTATAGCCATATGTTTCCAGAGTATATCCATATTCGCATTTGAACTGTCCAATATAATACCCGATATTGCTTCTTTGATCCGTAGTGATAAGAATCATAATGAAGAGAGATACTTTTAAGAGATGGACTACTCTAATGCTTATAGTTTTCATCTCCAGATATACCACTATTGTTATGGTGATACATGTATATACTCGGTGGAATTAGGATTGTTTGCTAATCAAAACACAAGTATCATGTATTTAAATGAAGAAGTACACATGATGGCTATGCACAATGATCAAAATATTCAGAGAAATCATATCTGGCTCATTTGCAGCTGACACTACAGTAACATATTGATAATAGAACATTGTTATAAAGATCTCTCCATTGCTTAATCGCTGTTAAGGATATTAAAAGTGAGGATTTCCCCACTGTTCATTGGATAAAACATATTTTGGCAGCCTGCATGATGTACAGTTCGTTCCATTAGAGATTTAATCCTTATAATTTGTATTTGTTGTTTATTTTATGTCTTACATTTGGGGAGTGATGATTAAAACATTTGGGGGACACGTCCCTCAATGGGTCAGCTTAAATTCTATCCTAGGTTTGGATGTTCAGGATCCACATTCAATGGGTCCCACCATGAAGACTTATTATGACTCCGTAGATAGGAGTCCTATGTTAAGTGGGACCCAAGCCCAACCCAGATGGGCCCTGATTAGTGATTACTTATGGTAAGTATTAAGGGCCCAAGAACGCAAACAGTGGTTCCCTGTGACTGTGATGATCCATCTGAAGATGTAGATTTTTGTTGCCTATGAGCTATGATCCTATGAACCATTAACGAGATTGGTTCATAGTGGGCCCCAGTTTATTAAAGTGGACCTGGACCAAGAGCATATTGGCCATTGACTCATTGGTGGGCCTTCTCTTTGGCCGAGGAAAAATTTTCTTTCAGAATCCCGAGCGTTCGAGAAAGGCCTGGACTGGAAAGGCTGGAAAATGGAAATGCTCTATCAATCAAACTTAGAACTAAAGTAGAAACGTGGGGAAGGTCCCAGAAACTACAAGAATTGTCCCCATGTTTTCTTTAAATACCGAATTCTTCCCACACCATCTGGGCATCCTTATGTGTGAGGTATTCGAGTCGAGAACGAGAAACTCTCTAAGCACACGCCAAGTTCTTCTACCCGGCAATCGTTTGTTTCCTTGCTCTGGTTCGGTCTTCAATTTGATTCGAAATTTCAAGTAGGAAGAAAAAAGAATCTGAAGCAAAGATGTCGATCATTCCGAGTATCTTCGGTGGCCGAAGAAGCAATGTCTTCGATCCCTTCTCTCTCGATGTTTGGGATCTGTTCAAGGACTTTCCCTCAACCAGTGCTCTGTCCTCCCCTCAGTTCTCAAACAAAACAGAGGCTTTCGCGAATGCCCGCATCGATTGGAAGGAGACCCCAGAAGCCCATGTCTTCAAAGCCGACCTTCCTGGACTCAAGAAGGAGGAGGTGAAAGTCGAACTGGAGGAAGGTAGAGTCTTACAAATCAGTGGAGAGCGCAGCAGAGAACACGAGGAGAAGAATGACAAGTGGCACCGTGTTGAACGCAGCAGCGGCAAGTTCCTTCGTCGGTTCAGGTTGCCGGAGAACGCCAAGGTGGACCAAGTGAAGGCGGCCATGGAGAATGGGATTCTTACTGTAACTGTCCCTAAGGAAGAGGTGAAAAAGCCGGAAGTCAAAGCTATTGAAATCTCTGGTTGGAATTAGAATGAGTACTGGTAGAAAATGGGCTTCAACGGTGTCTTGTTTGCATTTTCCAGAGATGGTTTAAATTTTTGTAAATTGTATGAAACATTAATTAATCAAATAATGAACTAGATTTGGCATTGTAAAAACTAAAAAGAGCTCTTATTCTTTTTGAAAATGTTATTTTTCTGATGAAATCCTTGGCCCTCTTCTTCATTTAAATTGGCATTTTATACAGTGAATGATGTAAAAGACGCAATGTAGTTCATGCTTTGCTGTTTTCGTTTTGAATCTGTTGCTGCTTGGGAACGACATTGTTTAAACTTTAAATCTCATTTGATGGATTCAACTTCACAAGAAGACATTGTTTAAAGCTGCCAGTGGTTGTGTTTTGGGGGGGACCTGGAGACACTCAACAAAATATTGATGGTAATCAGAATAAATTATAATTAGGTCTCGTTCCGATAAGCTTCTGATTTTGGGAGCTTCTGGCTGTAGGCTGTAGGCTGTAGGCTGTAGGTTACAAAAATGAACTAAAAGTGATAACTTTAATTTGTATGTGCAATTACAGAAGCCCAACAAGGAGTTGATCCAGTCACTTGTGTGGTTGTTCAATTTGTTCGGACTGTTGGTTCTCTCTTTTCTTTTTGGTTTGGATCGAAAACTGGGTTAATAGGAGTTTAATGTAGGAACTAGGAACGTTAAAATAATCTCTTTGAGCAGCCGGTAGTAACTTTTACCTTTACTCATCTTTGCCTTTTGTTTGTATTATAGAAATTTCGTTGAGTTGGTGAGATATCTTCAATTCCTAACCATAGGAGGGATTGACCAAGGATGACCCATTATCGCATGCTTATTTAAAAATTCAGCTTTCTGATTTTGTGGCGCTCTCTCTCTCTCTCTCCTGATTTTTCTCCTAAACTATTTTTCTCTTGGTCTTCTCCTAAACCATTCACTATGAATTCTCTCTCCCAATCCAATTTGATTAGCCTATTGGACACTGTTGCTGCCAAATTTTACAACAAGAATGAAATAGGGAATTTGTTGAAGATCCCAATTGAGAGGGTGTCACTTTGGCTAATGAGGTATTACGTCAGTTGGTACCTCGGCTATTATGGAGCACCTATGATTAGAAAAAACATCACATGCCCTGCAGTGAGTGTGGACACCCTCGGTCAAGTCAATAATGTCACAAGGTAGAGAAAATGAGTTGAAGTTAGTGGGACATGATATAAATGTGAGATAAAATGAAATAAGGCGTATCTAAAAGTTTTAGTATTTTTATTTTGTCTTGCATCTAATATCCTGATATTTTGATAAACTCAACCACATATAGCATCTATGTGGATCTGGCCAGGTTAGTCGGGCCTAGTTGAACTTGGTCAAGTTGGTTCGATCAAATCAATTTACGACTTTGCCCCTATCCTACTGCCACTGGGCATGGTTGGTTTTGGTCACATCAAACATATAAATCCAATGTAAATGGATTGGATGGAACGACAACATCCAATCCATTGATAGCCTTACCACTTTGGGTACGTTATCAGGAGAAGGACAACATCCAATCCTTTCTACAGTTCAAGGACGAACATATATAACACTTTCAAGATGTCACTTGAAACCTCTAGAATGGGTAAGGTAATATATCTATTTTGCACATCTAAACGTGCTTAGTAATGGTATTGGGATCTAAAAGTGAATGGTTGTAGATCGAGTGTTGAAGTCTATAAATACATAGTAGTTCTCTATCATAAATCAAAGTTTGGGGACCTTAGTGGTACTACCCCCAAAGTTCATGATAGCTCTTTATATTTTACTCTCATGCCTCGTTTGTTTTTTAGTAAGTTATTTATTCGGGTATATGTACTTATCTGGACAAGTGTTTTCTATGAAAGATTTACCCAGATAAATGCATTTATCCATATTCTCTTATTTCTTATGTAAATAAGGCAATGATAATCTTAGCCATAAAAATTCCATTATTATTTAAGTATTGACAACTTTTCCTTAGACGGAAAATTTAATTAACTACGTAAGCGATGGGTATCAGGAAAATAAACTTTCATTGCTCCCCACATAAATCTAAAAAATGAACATGGGTTTCTTGGTTAATAGGAATCAAAATTCCATTGACCAACTTTTTCCCTCTCTCAAGATCTAAAAAAAGAACGCCCTCTTAATAATATGCTGGTGAAAAAAGGAATTTAGTTTCTCCCTTCTCCAACTCTTCAAATACTGATCTACTTATCTTGGAATCCTCTCTATTTGCAAGACCTATTGGAGCATACCAACCATTATTAATTACTTTGAATTCAGGACATATTCTAAAAATTAAATAGAATCCAATTTGACCTTACAAACCTAAGTACCACACAAATTCATTAAAGAAAGTAACAATGGCTTTCCAACACAAGAAGAGGTGGTACTAATCTTAGTAGAGAATAAGTACTCATTATTCTTAAATTATGTATTTTTCAAAATTCCAACCCACAAAGCTTCACGAATCATGAAAGCTTAAAACTTGTAGGCCAATTTATGCAATTAAGCTTTTATTATTTTCTTTTGATAGATAAACAAGGAAAGCACTAAAATAGAAAGTTTATATAAGTTGGTGGCAAATTCCACCACACAGTATCATCATATAAGTTCCTAGCATGCTGAGACAAAAGATGAACAGCCTGATTTAACAACCTAGGGTTATACACAAATTGCAAAAAAGAAAATAGTCCTGATAAAATAGAAATTTTATCCACCCAAACCGCCATATTCCAATTGGTTGCCTTAGAATTCTTGTTCATCAAATTAACAGAATTCTTTGAGTCAGAAAATATAAGAATCCTATTTCAATTCTAGTCCTTAGCAAAAGAAATAACAGATAGTTTAGCCAAAAGTTCTGCATTATCTACTTCACAAAAAAAAAAAAAAAACTTCTTTCCTACCACTTGCAGACACCACAAACCTACTAGAACGCTCAAACACACAAAAAACCAAAAGTAATAGCTGAATTTTGAATATCCATCATAGAATATAAATAATCAATTGAATTCAAATATGTTTTAGGTATATAAAACATTGGGATGGAGAAAGGATGGCTAATCATAGAATTCTCTATAACCCTTCTAACCGGGCGATCCGGGCCCACTGATTCAACAAAAATGTTAGTGTCAAAAACAACATCCGTAGTAGAAATAACCCAATTAATAGATCTTTTTAAGTCCTCTAATTAAACAATCATTCCGGGCTAACCAAACATAATAAAGAGCCATTGCCACCCAACCGACAACAGGCTCAAATCGAATTGCCTAGTCATAAATCATGCACAATTCACCAAAGATTTTCAACAGAAAGCAATTGAAATCTCAAATTCTAGGGACTCCCAAAAAGAACAGCTCTAAAGTAAGGGCAACAACCAAACAAGGGGTTAGGAGTTTCCTCATCAGACGCATAGAGAGGACATTAACTATTAGGGAGAATTCTCAAATGCTTAAGTTTAGATTTAATGACTACAAAATATCCTTAACTATCTCCACACAAAGATTTTGTATTTTGGTGAAACCTTTAATTTCCAAATTCTGTTTAAAGTAGAAAGACAATGTTGGTTCAGAGAACTATTCATCCTTTTCCGTTGCAATAAATAAAAACTTTTTACTAAAAAACACTATTTTTATTACCCAATCAAAAAACTGAATCTTTGTGTAAACTTCTGAAAATATGTATGCACCCAACATCATTGAACTCCCCTTCAGAAAAAAATTGGAGCAATTTAATTCTATCCCAAGAACCATATTCAACAGAAAATAACTCCTTAATAACCATAGATTGATCATGCTCCTCTAAGGCCATTGAGAAAGGATACTTATCTCCTTTCTTTATCTAAGGAAAATTTTAAACATAAATTTCAAACTGTGTGCTAATTTTCACACTCAATAGAGGACATAATCCCACACCGCTTTAGCAAGGGCTCCCCACAATAGAGAGGCATTAGTTGGAATTCTTCTAGAAGTACCATTATTAATTAAATATTTACTTTTTAATAATTTAACCCAAAGAGAATATGATTCCCTCAGAAATCGCTAGGCTAGCTTAGCCAACAAAGATTTAAGATCTCCATTTGCTTAAAACTTAATCCTCCTCCTTTCAGTAGTACACATAGCTTATCCCAACCAACCCATTTGAAAGCTTTCCCACTAGAAGTCCCTCTAAATCTTCTCCATTTGATTGAAAGGCTTTAGAAGAAATGAACAACACTTGTACTGTAAACTGCAAGGTGGATTGTATTAACACCTTTTTCCCAGCATAAGACAAACAAGAGGCCTTCCAAACAGCTAATTAATTTTCACCTCATTTTATCAAATAACATATTCTAAAGAATATGCCTTTCTCTTCTCTTTTTCCACAGTAAAGGAACCCCTAGATATTTACAGTCTTAACAAATAGAGGACATTTTCATTTGCCTCCTAATCATTTTTTGTCCTTTGGAAGGAGTGTTTTTACTAAACCAAAGACCAGATTTTTGAAAGTTTACTTGAACACCTGAAAGTTCCTAAAATTATTTAAACAAATCCAAAAGATTAGTTGCTTCCTCTTTATTAGCTTTACTGAGTAACAATACATTATTTGCAAAAAAGTAAATGGAAGATTTTAGGAGTTTGCCTAGCAATCTTAATACCTTCCAAATTCCTAGGAGCATTAGTTTTCGCTATAACTCTAGATAAGCCTTCCATGGCTAAAACAAAAGGATAAGGGAATAAAGGATTCCCTTACCTTATACCAAGGTTCAAGGTTCAAAGTGTTGATATATATCGGGGTTATACTGATGGATACATATTGTATCTAGAGCTTCCCGATATGCCCTTACAGGGGGTGTTTTGGGGTTCCAACCGGTTTAAAGGGTGGATAAACCTTAAACCGACCCCTCTGAATCAGATTCAGAAAAACTAAAAAAAATAAAAAATCCACTGATACTGCCCGATATGCCACTACCGGCATATCAGGCGTATCGATATTTTGAACCTTGCCTTATACCTCTTGAAGCTTGAAAGTGCCCCTCCAGAGACCCATTAATCAAGATTAACTCCCACCATTCAAATGACAATCCTAGATCCTCCCTTATCCATTACAAATAATCCCACTCTAAAGTATCATAAGCTTTTGAAATATCTAGCTTAACCACTATCATACCCTTTCCTCATTTTTTTTGTTTGACATCGTGTATG